TTTGGATGAAACTCCCGTTGGAACGGTTCTTTCCATGATGGAAGGGATCGCTTTGCCTGGGGGGAGAAACAAAAAGGCTATCAATTAAAAAAAAAAAAAAAAAAAAAAAGGAAAAGAAAAATTACTCAAAATACTCAGGCTGACGTTCGTCGAGTTTTTCTTTTCTCTATATTTCTCCGTACTCTGTTGGAGGGTGGTTGTTTTCTAGGGTCTAAAAGGATTCCGGTAAGATACCTTGCATGGGGGAAAAGGGAGAAGGATGGGGAGGTCAAGGGTACAATGATCCGCCGATGTCCGCCCTGCTTGGAGGCCGGGGGGGGGGGGGGGGGGGGGGGGAAAAAAAGAAAAAGAAAAAAGAAAGCAAAGCGCGAAAATTTCACAGCCAAATTTAGATGCTCATCGGCAAGAAGCGATGCTTCGTGTCCGATGGGGGAGCTCGGTGTGACGGGGCTTTTTGGTCTTGGTCGTAACCATTGGCGACGTAGCCGCACCGGCGAGGGTGGTCCTTGGGGTTAGTGTCGGTGCTAATACTCCGTAGGAAGTCAGCCAATGTATTTCTCTTCTGGAACGGGTGGGTGCGTCAGAGAGGTTTTTTTTGCTTGACATCTGCGAATATCGAAATGTCTTCTTTGTGAAGCGCATCGATCCCTCGATCCTCCAGCTGAAATCAATTGTCAGCTCGCTGTATCAAGCATGAATGGCTAGTCGTATTACGATGAAATACAGGGAGAGTCGACAATTTAGCGGAAGCTTCTTCGTTCCGCCGCAGATCCGGTATTGTGACTGGTCAGATCGGGTATGATGACATGGTGGCTGGTAATGTTGAAAACCTGCCTTGGCGGGTTTGGCCTGAGAACTGGCACGCGGGCAACCTGGGGTGATCCTGCGGTGCAGAGGCGCTGGGAAAAAGAATCGACGGGAGGAGGCAGGTATGTCTTCTTAGCCATGCATACAGCACAATCTGCAAGAGCCTCCTCTCCTTCGCTGGGCCGGCATCGAGGCCAGCCCCGTGGCGAAACAGCGGGTGGCCTTTTTGGGAGGACTGAATTTGTTTTTCAGAGACGAGGGTACGGTTCGGAGACACCATTACGTACACGCTGGGTACGGATCGTATTCGAGTTCCGAGAAGGGAAAGGCGCGATGGACTGGGGTTCCGAATGCGCCATTGGCCGTGCTGAGGTGGGGCGGCTGAGCGAGAGGCTAACAGGCCCAAATCTAGCCAGTCATCTTCACCGACACTGCGAGAAAAGTACTTATTCTCCATCACGGCGCCCTTGATTCGAAAATATTCCAGTTCTCCCTGGACAATTTGAGGAGCGAGTGCAGTTTGTCCCCTTCGCTGGCCAATCTTGCGAGGTGAATTTTTTTTTCTCGCCGCGCCTTTGCCGTCCTCCAGAGGGAGAGAGAGAGACAGAGTTGCGTCCTAACGGCTCTTGAGGATCACAGACCACTCAGGGTGCGACCTTCGCTTCCCCTGGTTGGCTCGTTTTTAATTTCCTTTCCACCCCCTCGGCCGACGTCCTACCTGGACTGCTCTTTTTGCGTTTTAATTTTCGGTGTCGCAGCCAACGACAAGCCGCCCTGGTCACCTGACCGCGCTCGCCCATCGCCCCTCGCGGCGTGCTACTGGCTGTTCTTAAAAATACGCCCACTCGCCCTCGCCCTCGCTCCGTCCAATTGTTCCTCCAGGAAATTCTCACCACCTGCTTGGTCGCTTGCCCCGAGCTTCTTCTCCTCTCATCCAAGCCTCCTCCGTCCTATCAACGAGTCTGTCTCCGTCAGACGTCGACTCTCGCGGGTCAATCCGTCGTTTTGCTAAGCGCGCTTCCCCCCCCCCCTCCCCGCCATTGAGACAAAGCCCATTGTTGGGAGCCCGCGAGCTGAGAGGAAGCCCCAACCGCGGCACCCGCCAGCCTCGCCACCCAATAACGTGTCTTCCACGCTCAAGGTAAGGAGGCAATTTCCACCGTTCCCCCCCCGCCCCGCTGACTCATCCGGAAGCGCCGTCGTCATTGGGCTTGACGGCAATAAGCTCTTCCAGCTCCTGCGCCCCCCAACCACCCCAAGTCCTCTTGTCACCCCTTGTATGTGTATATTTTTTTTTCCCCGTGTGTTAGGGGGAAAAAAAAACCCCAAAATCCCGCCCAGCTCTCATACACTGCAGCTCTGCCCAATCAACGTCCTTTGCCGCTTACCAGATCACGCACACCGATTCGCTGTCTGACTGGCTGCTGATTTGATCGAAGCACAGACTGCTGCAGGAGCTTAATCGGTCCCGGTCGATCCTCCTCTCTCCATTCGGTATGCAGCCATTCACATCTCCATCTGTGCCCTCTTTTTGTTTCCTCGTTTATTTTAATTTACCCCGGGCACCAGTCATATCACAAGCCATCACACTCCGGGGAAAAAGAAGCTTTTTAAACTGATTTTCAACGCTTCTGTCCCTCCTCTTTGATTTGTGCAAACAATCCACACTGCGTTGGCCTTTTGCATACCCCAGAAAATTATATGCATGTTTCCCGCAAGCGCCTGCATCCACACCCTCACTATCCCATGGCCGTTTTGGACCCAAACACCTTTGTTGTTGCAGCAGAGATATGTGTGTGGGCAAGAAAAAAAAAAAAAAAAAAAAAAAAAAAAAAAAAACCTGCGCCGACACCCAATTCTCTTGAGTCTTTCTCCCCGCACAGATTTGCCCTTAAACTGTATCCTCTCGGAAAATTATATGGGGCGATTCGCCAATCAGCGTCTTCACCTTTCGTCCTCCTCCGGTCGCTCCGCATAATTTCTTGAAACTCCCCCATCTCCCTGTCGCAGAGACGGCGGCTCTGGAGTTGATTCTTGCTTTAGCTGCGTTGATCACACCCGCTTTGTCCGTAGCTTTGCAAGCCCTGCCATGGCAAGGGAGTGGCAGAAGCAGGAGGCCAAAGTGGGTCCTGTCAGATGCTGGCGTTTCCCAGCCTCTCTTTTCGCATTGAGCTTCAGTCTCCCTGCACTGCATGTCACCCCGAAGCTCGAGAGCTGTCTGTGCCTCCTGGTCGTGCATATTATTGACAATAATTCCCATTCTTCTCCCTGCTTGCTTGCTGTTCCGTTTCTCTTGAGTCCTAACGCGTGATCTGACGATGCAAGGTGCCATTTAGGAAAGATCTCCACTGAGTCACAGTGATACAATCGTATTCAAAACGCTCTAGCTCGAGGCAGCTTTGAAATCCACCGGAAAATAATTCTTGGTTTTCCCTTGCCCCAGCAGCTTTATTTTACGAGCTTTACGATACACGTGCAATTTCTCACCCATTTTTCGTCACTGTCGACTCTTCTTTTTCCTTTTTTTTTTTTTTTTTTTTTTTTTGTTTTTCCCTCCTCTTGTCCCACCGACAAGCGACCGTCCGACTCTATTAATAACCCACGATACTGATTCGCAGACTGATTATCAGTTTGGCGCCAAGCCCGTGAAGGTACTGTTATTTCTCACTTCCAATACCGTACCGTACCGCATTTTCCCCCCGCGCGCGCGCAGGCTCACGCACATAAATAAAAACATTGCTATCCCGTGTTTTGAAGCGCGTATATCCATGGCCTGCGAGATACGCCGTCTCGTCCCTCTTTTTCTTTTTTTTTCCCCCCTTATTTGTTTTTTTTATTTTCTTTGATTTAAAAGTCATGATTCTAACGAGGTGTAAAAGCGCGACAAAAATAACATCGAGTGAGAGCAAAGAACAAGACGTGCAATCCTCGTGGTGTTACCTAATCACCCTCTGCCGGCCTCTGACGACTTGACAGCCAGGGCGCTCGTTTCGTGGGTGTGGGTTTTGGGTGACTTCATCAAACCCGGTAAGTGGTGTGTGGATGTGTTGTTCAACTCCCATGCAGATTTCCTCCGGCGGTGCTGCACGCATTAAACTCTTGCATTGCCAACGCATACATACCCCAGTTGACAGGCCACCATATCTTTTGTTCCAATCTTCTTTTGCTTTTACCCCTCAATTTTTGTTTGGCCTTGCATCTTTTTTACATTCTTATTTTATATTTTATCTTTTTTTTTGGCCGATTTGACTCGCTCAGTGGAATAAAATTTCTCACTTTTCGCCGCTTTTCACTGGCTGGCGTGCCCCATCTTCCAACGCGAACGGTCCCCGTCGACCGGTTCATACGCCCTGGCATTGGCTTATTTTTTATTTTTTATTCTTATTTTCACTTCATTTTATCCACCCTCGTTGTGCTATTCATTCCAGTTTTACCCGCTGCGGTACTTCTACATTGTCATCGCAGGCGCTGACATCACCATCCTGGTACAGCTTATACTTCACCCCCCCCACCGTGCTTGGCAAAGAACCTCCAAACCCTTCGGGTTATCGCTGGTGTATAGTTTCGGGCACCGCCTCAGCTTTCTGCCCTACGACGTGGCCCGTTAGCCCTGCCAGTGAACACCCATCTTGATCATTGTACACACGGGATCAGACCTGAGTCTTCCAGTTTGGCCTAGGCGAATTTTCATCGGGCACTTTGTCGCAAGCGTGACAAATCTGGGAATTCATTTCGCGATCTCCGGTAATTTGGCCTTCGCCCTCGTGGTCGGTAGATTTCGCACCAACAAAAGACGCAAAGTCGCATCCTCCCAGCATTGTCCGAGCCTGACAACACATCAACGCGTGAATCGTCGACTGTGACCCTTGTCACTGCATCAAGGCCCAACCAATTCGCACTGTCATCGCGCTGTTTCCGCGAAGGCAGAAAAATATCAAAAGAACTCATAATCGCGTTGAGATCATAGTTCTTATTTTTTCCCCTTTTGACCCTGGACGAGTTTGTTTCTAGCTCTGCATCCATACGCGTCTTGAGATTCTTGCTCTCTCCCCCGCGACCCCATAAAATCGAACGCTCGGATTGCATGTTATTGGTGATTTGGATTTGTGCGTGACCTGTCCGATCCTTAATTCGTGCATTAAGTGCTAATGCGACCGTGGAGCTGCAGGCCATCTACATCGAATCAGCGATCGCAAAACCGAAGACTCCTCCTGATTGCTCCCCCAAAGCGTCTTCCGGCACCAAGACAAAGCCTTTATCCACCCATTCCTGCCGGCCGATTGGAAAACCACTCCACAAAGAGGTTCTGCCAACTACCCTTGTCGCAATTGTTTGTGGAGAGAACAAATAGATTGCTTCATTATCCCTCGACTATTCGACCATTCGCCCTGGTTGACGCGCCTCTAGCCGCTTCATCGGTTGACAGCCAGGCAGAACCCTCGCGGCGCGTTACCTCATCCCCAAACAAACGATTCTGTGTGACGTGCCTGACAACCCTCCATCGGCACGTCCTTGACTCTTCACACCATGGAGTATTCGACGCAATACCCACAACCCCATAGTCAACACCCACATGCTTCTGCACATATGTCTGGCCCTTACCAAACATCCCAAAATACCGCCACGCCTGTTGGACAAATCGCATCCCCGACGAACCCCCAAAGCCAAATTCATCACGGCCACACGAACCATCAAGCATCACCGATTCTGCCGTCACAATCGCATTATCAAGCACCGCAACCAGCCACTGGCCAGGTGCAGCAGCAGATGAACTTTTCTCAACCTTATGCCGCCATGGCACCTTCATACGGAATCTCTCCCACGCAGGCGGCAGCAATGGCGACAGCAGCGGCTTCGGGACAGTTTTTCCCTTTACATCAAGAGTCGATGGGTGGGATGGGACAAGCGGCACGTGGATCGCCGAGAATGCCACAGGCTAATAAAGAGCGCCACCCGCGATCCCCCCCTCAGGTCGCCGGCCAGATGTCCTCATTACCCAACCAAGTACCCATGCCGCAGAATGCATCTATGCAACAACAGCGAAGAATGAGTCAACAGATGAACAGCCCTCATGTCCAAAACGCGCAGCCGGTTATGAACCACACCATGTCTCGCCCATCTGGGCAACCGTCGATGCCACCACCTCCCCCAGCTCACCAGCCGGTGCAGCAAAGTCAGCCCTCACCAGAAATCGTTACAGGCCCGGCAGAGGAATCGCCATTATACGTTAATGCCAAGCAGTTCCACCGCATCCTGAAGCGACGCGTTGCGCGCCAGAAATTGGAAGAACAGCTAAGGCTTACGTCGAAAGGAAGAAAACCTTACTTGCACGAATCCCGACACAATCACGCGATGCGACGGCCTCGCGGCCCCGGGGGAAGGTTCCTTACTGCAGAGGAGGTGGCTGCTATGGAGAAGCAGCAAGCTGCTAACGCAACTGGCGTGGAAAATATCCCGAACCACGCCGCTTCCAAAGACCACACTTCTGGCTCCACAGGTGTTGCATCCAGCACCACTATCGGACAGAAACGGAAAGCCGCTGGAGCTATGAACAGTAATCAGTCCAAAAAGGTGAAGCCTGGCCTCCAGCAATCCAGGATTTCAATGGCAGAAGGTGGTCTTGAGAACGATGTCGATGCAGACGGTTGAATGATACGCTTTACGATAAGATTATCATTTTTTATTTTTCTTTTTTACTTGTTCTTTCTTCTGTTACTATCTTTATCTATTACGTTAAATTGCATGAGCGAAGCGGGAATGGGATTGCAAGGATCACAAAAGGAAGATCCGCAATGTTCTGAAGACTCTTTTTTTGCTGAGCAAATCAAACTCCAAGATAACTGCATACTGTCTGTGGTTTCTCTGCTTGTTTTTTTTTTATCTACCTTATATCTTTTTATTACACTCGGAGCACTCCTACGTATCCTCCGTATGACGACGAAGGGTCTATTTGGAAGTGCACCTGCGGTTCCACTCCCCTATTCATACCCACTACTTTACTCCCTCCCGCCCTCGTCGATGTCATGTCTCGCTAAAATTGAGCTTTTGATAGCGAAATTCCTCTCATACGTTTCCCTTTCCATTTCCATCCTTTTTCCTATTGTTTTCTGCGATCGCCAAATTGATACTCATGAATATTTTAGGCAGTTTTTTTTTTTTTTTTTTTTTGCCCAGCTAAGGATACCAGTTTGCTATTATTTTGTCGTTGTTACGTTTGCGTGTGTGTTCCTTTTCTCCCTCCCCCCCCCTCTGCGAAGCTTGGGCTTGTGTTTGGGTTCTGGGTTTTCTTCTTTCTCCCACCCTTTCTTTTTCTCTCTGAAATTGTATTTTCTCAACTTTTGGATTTGATTGTTGATATGAATCTCTGGAAGCACACTAGGAAGGAACGGGAGGAATTTCACTTGAATATCTCTTATCTTCTATTTTTTTTGGGCGCTACCCCTGTTGTGTGGGATGGAGCAAAAGTGAGAAATTTGTTAGCTTTTTATTTTGACTGGTATTCTGGAATGGTGTAGGATCTTTGGCGGAAAGGGTAAATGGGCACAGAGATATATATAACTCAGTATTCCTTCTCATGTCTTCTTCCCCTCCCCCTTGATTTCTGGTTTCCCCCCCCCCCCCCCCCCACCCCGGGGTGTATTTATGCCTGGATATTCTTGGCTATTCTGTAGATTTATGGTAATCTGTAAGGATTCACCCGCGAACCCCTTACACAGACAAACAACCCTTGTGAGGGCTGGGCTAGCCTCAAATTCCCTCAGATATACGTTTCTGCTGAATCAATGGCTTGACAGAGGTTTGATCTATGATGTATTTTTAGTCTTGGTGTCTTCTTAGCCTTACATTATGGTGCCCAGTTCTTCCTCAGGTTCTACGTTTTTTTTTACAGGTGCATATAGGAATATAACGGCATTTCCTGTTGAATCAGTTGACAAAAGCGGACATTTCCCTTTGCCTGAACGGCATCGTGCTTACCTGACCACTAAGGTACCATTAGCTTAAGGGACGGCGGAGGTGATGGCTATTGACACTACTGATAGCTTGGTCCAGTTGGATTTAACACAATCCCTCCTTGGATATCGCCAACGTGAAATTTGCCTTTGACACATAAGACTGGAGTTTGGAGAATGTTAAAAAGTGACATCTCTGACTACTTAGATCTATACTGCCACTCCACGCCTAAGAATTTGAAAACACCACAATTTTTGAGCGGCCAGTCCACTGGAAAAGGATCCATTTTTGACTCCAATTCATAGCGCTGTATTTTAAAAAGAGCCTTTATTAGAACATTGCTAGGCATAAGGTGGTCGTCTCATGGCAGAAAGTTCTCTGGAAAGTGTGTCTTGGAATCAAGAATGGTCAAAGGTTGACCCAGGCTGTGATGAAAATGAGCTATTTCTTCACAAGAGGATTGCCATAATGAGGATAATTTCATGAAAGATACACACCCCCCTGAGAGCTTCCACCTAAATTTACTTGGTCCATATATCAGCACTCGCCACGAGTCAACGTCTATGTGAGATACATGGAGAGGAAGCATTCTGCTGGGTGGGCCCAAGCGTGTTCACTAGGACTTTGTAAAGGGGTATCGCTTCGACAGAATCACCCTTGGTGACCCTGGTGATACAGTTGATCCCTCCCTGGTTGGCGTTCCGCCTGGGACTTCCTTTGATCACATGATCCTGACCTTGTCGATGGAAGTGGCGCAGAAACACGCCCGGTAAGATGTGGCTGGTAGATCTGACATAAGCTGCCCCTTATTCGCTGGCTTCCGGGCGAGTCTGGGCCGAACCTTAATTTCGCTGTTGGTCGACGGTGGCTGTTCCATGGACGCCCATGCTCGCTGTCTGCTTGTGACGTTGGCGAGAGCGAGTGTGTGTGTGTGTGTGTGTGTGTATGAGCAATCTCATCAAAGGACATTCGCTGCAGAGCTGTTCCAGTCCGGAATCATCAACTCTGACGACTGGCTTGTTATCTGTTTGCAAGAAACCCTGCGGCTCAGCTCGTACGCACAGAGGCCTCCTGTTGCACAGGGAAACGCGGTGCATCCCTCCACCACCGCCATCACCCCCCGACGCAACCCGTGGAGTTGTTGACAACTTCCCCGACGAACGCGCATAATCGTACGCGGTGTCTTCCGAACGCCGATATTTGATGCGTTAAAGGCACAGACTTCGACAACGGGATCTGTTTTTTTTTGGACAAAATCGAAGCGAGATAACTTTTCTTTTAGGAAAAAAGAGTGTTGACCCTACAGCTACAGGGTAGACTTTTGCGATAGCCTACCCTGTTCTCCATACACACACATATCGCGCGAGAACGATTGTCTTCAGGATACCTTATACAGTGTGCTCTACATCCACCGTCCGCTGTCGAAAAGCTTGGGCCGGGAGGAGGAGCGTGTGCACCTGAGTGCATGGGGGTGTAGACCTAAAGATGGCTCCTGGCGGAGGAGGCAACATCAAGGTGGTGGTGAGGGTACGACCGTTCAACAGCAGAGGTTAGCGCCCAGAATATCAGCTCTTTTCAATATCAACATCCTGTGTATATACCCGTTGCTAGACGCTTACCATCACCGGCTCCTTCTTTTTTAACTCTCTTTTGCTTCTTAGAAATCGCCCGCTCAGCAAAATGTATCGTTCAAATGCAGGGGAACCAAACGGTTCTCACACCACCACCCGGAGCCGAGGAAAAAGGTCGCAAGGGCGGCAAGGGCGGCGGCACGATCGACGGACCCAAAGCCTTCGCGTTCGATAAGTCGTATTGGTCGTTCGACCGGGATGCTAAGAATTACGCCGGTCAAGATAATCTATTCAGCGATCTCGGTGCGCCGTTGTTGGATAATGCATTTCAAGGCTATAATAACTGCATTTTCGCCTATGGGCAGACGGGCTCGGGAAAATCGTATTCGATGATGGGATATGGAGAGGAATACGGTGTGATCCCAAGGATCTGTAAGGATATGTTTCAGCGGATTGCGACGATGCAGACGGACAAGAATCTCTCGTGTACGGTCGAGGTATCGTACTTGGAAATTTACAATGAGAGAGTGAGGGATTTACTGAATCCCGCGACGAAGGGGAATTTAAAAGTCCGAGAGCACCCGTCGACAGGCCCGTATGTGGAGGATTTGGCGAAGTTGGTGGTCAGGTCGTTTCAGGAGATTGAAAATTTGATGGATGAGGGGAATAAAGCGAGAACGGTGGCGGCGACGAATATGAACGAGACATCAAGTCGATCGCATGCCGTGTTTACGCTAACGTTAACGCAGAAGAGACACGATACAGAGACAACTATGGATACGGAGAAAGTATCACGGATCAGCCTCGTCGACTTGGCTGGCTCAGAGAGAGCTACTTCTACCGGAGCGACTGGAGCACGACTCAAAGAAGGTGCTGAAATTAATCGATCGTTGTCTACGCTAGGCCGTGTCATTGCCGCTTTGGCGGATCTGTCTTCGGGGAAGAAGAGAAACGCTTCGATGGTTCCGTACCGTGATTCTGTGTTAACGTGGTTACTTAAGGATTCTCTCGGTGGCAATTCCATGACGGCTATGATAGCAGCCATTTCTCCTGCGGATATCAACTACGAAGAGACATTAAGCACTTTGCGATACGCAGACTCTGCCAAGCGTATTAAGAACCATGCCGTTGTCAACGAAGATCCGAACGCCCGCATGATCAGAGAATTAAAAGAAGAACTTGCGCAACTCAGGAGTAAACTTGGAGGCGGGGCGGCAGCGGGCGGCTCTGGTGGTGGGATTGCTGAAGAGACTTATCCACCAGGTACGCCGTTGGAGCAGCAGATGGTGACTATCCAGCAACCAGACGGTACCGTACAGAAGGTCAGCAAAGCTGATATCGTTGAACAATTGAACCAAAGTGAGAAACTTTACAAGGATCTTAACCAAACATGGGAGGAGAAATTGGCAAAGACGGAAGAAATTCACAAGGAACGAGAAGCTGCTCTGGAGGAACTTGGTATCAGCATCGAAAAGGGTTTTATAGGCTTATCCACGCCCAAGAAAATGCCCCACCTGGTTAATCTCAGTGATGACCCGCTTCTGGCCGAGTGCTTGGTTTATAATATCAAGCCCGGGACTACTACCGTTGGAAATGCGGACACCGCAACAAACTGTGAAATTCGTTTGAACGGGTCGAAGATTCTTCATAATCATTGCAAGTTTGAAAATGTGGACAACGTCGTCACTATTGTGCCCACTGAAGGTGCCGCTGTAATGGTCAACGGGCTGCGAATTGATAAACCCCAACGACTACGAAGCGGCTTTCGCATAATCCTGGGCGATTTCCATATATTCCGATTTAACCATCCACAAGAAGCTCGTGCTGAACGAGTCGAACAAAGCCTGCTGCGTCACTCGGTGACCACCAGCCAACTTAGCTCCCCTATTGTGCCTCGGACTCACGATAGATCAATGAGCAAGAGTGGCTCAGACGTTGATGGAGATTCCGTTAGGGCCGAGTCACCCATGCCGTCACAGCGAGGGAGGGATTCGGACTGGTTGCTCGCTAGACGGGAAGCAGCCAGCGCGATACTAGGTGGCGATCAAAAAATCTCACATCTTACGGACGACGAGTTGGATGCTCTATTTGATGACGTCCAAAAAGCACGCGCTGTGAGAAGGGGCAAAACGGAAAATAAATTCTTGGAAAATGAGGAAGATTCAGACTCCGTCAGCTCCTGTCCTGTGCGGGATAAATATATGTCTAACGGGACGATTGATAATTTTTCCTTGGATACGGCGATAACTATGCCGGGAACTCCTCATCACACCGAGGATGAGGATAAGGAACTTAGAGAGCCTGCGCTGCAGATGGTCCGGGACAATATGCAACATCAGTTAGATAAGCAGAAGGCGGAATACCAGGAGAAGCTCAGAGCCGCTGAATCATCACAGCAGGATGTCGAGGAATTACGCGCTGAAAAAGCTCGGATGGAAGAAGCGCTTCTCACGGCAAAGGAAGAATTCCAACAGCAATTACAAAAGCAAAAAGAAGCATTTGAGTCTCATATCAAAGATTTGGGCCATGCACCTCTCAAATCGTATGAGAATGGCTTCCCGATTCTCGAACCTAGTGAAATAGAGATTGCTAGAGCAGTCTTCCACCACTGGCGGCGACGTAATTACGTCCGTATGGCTGAATCTGTCCTTCAACACGCGTCATTACTCAAGGAAGCGCAGGTGATGAGCCATATAATGGAGAAGAATATCTCGTTCCAATTTGCCATCATTGACGTTGGCCAAAGTATGGGATCCTCGTATGATCTCGTCCTTAATGGTATATCGTGTGACGATGATATAGCTCTTGACGATGCGAAGAAGCCATGCATTGGTGTTCGAGTGATTGATTTCAAAAATAATGTCATCTATCTGTGGTCTCTTGATAAATTACAACGCAGGGTACAGATGATGAGACAGATGCATCAATATATCGACCGACCTGATTACATCCAGCATTTTAAGCTGGAAAACCCATTTTCAGAAACCTGTCCACCAAAGTATTCTCTTGTCGGGGATGCTGACATCCCGTTAACTGCGGTATTCGAGGCTCGCGTTCAAGACTTCTCAGTTGAGGTTGTCTCTCCATACACGCAAAATGTTGTTGGACTTGTAAGATTATCGCTTGAACCCTCTGCTGCTCAGGCACCCTCATCTACACTCAAGTTCAATGTCGTTATGCATGATATGGTTGGTTTCGCCGAAAGAGAGGGTACAGATGTGCATGCCCAGCTCTTTGTTCCCGGTGTATCTGAAGACGGGGGTGCCACGACGACACAGATGATATCAGGGTTTGATGAGAATCCTGTCCGATTTGAGAGTGTTCATAGTATGAGCCTTCCCTTGTCAAGTCCCAGGAACTCTACGCTGAAGGTCAGCATATTTTCGTTCGTTTCAACAATGCATTTAGATAAGCTTCTCAGTTGGGATGAGATGAGAGACGCGCCTGAAGCTCCTCCGCAGAGGAGAAAAGCTCCTAGAATACCCGAATCAGAGTTTTACTCAGAGGAGAGACATGATGTCTTTGCAAGAGTTCAAATTCTTGAATTAGCAGAATCCGGAGAGTATCGTCCCGTTGACGTTCTTCAGAACAATAATCTGGATCCTGGGACTTATCAGCTCCATCAAGGTCTCCAGAGACGTATAGTCATTGACCTTACCTATAATTCGACTGAAGGTCTGCCTTGGGACGACATCACGTCTCTTCGGGTTGGAGGCGTACACTTGCTAGATCCATGGGGGAAGATACCGGATATGGAGACTCAGACTCCCGATATTCAGCTCAAACTGGTCCAGGAGCCGACGATAAAGGACAATGCTGATGGGACCTCGAATGTGACCCTAATCGGTCAATGGGATTCCAGTCTTCACGGTTCGCTACTTCTGGATCGCACAACAGCGGACAAATATCGAGTTCAGATCACGATACGTTGGAACTTGGTCTCTTCTCGTCTACAGGACCCTATTGTATTTGAGCTTGACCAACGACTACAAATACTAGGCAGGACATATGTCCGACAGCAGTCGATGTTTAAACAATTCTGGGCTTCATCTCGGGTCATCCATTCCACCGTGGGCATGTTTTCACTTGCTGTTCGGCCGGTTTCTGCAAAACGAGCGGCGGATCTATGGCGTATGAACACTCAGAATGACTATGTAAAAGGCGAGGAGCTGCTGAGTACCTGGTCACCACGCAAAGTTTCCTTGGTCCGAGATTATATACGTGCTCGTAAACGACGGCAACGTGTCGCAGAAATCGATGCTGCTCGTGGTTCTTTGAGCACAGGTAGCTTGACGCCTTTGACAAATGGCTGGTCCACCCCGTCAAGAGGCGCTGAGAAATCCCAACGACAAGAGAAACTTCTTCGAAAATATCTCGATTTATGGTCCACAAAGAAGGACCTGGCAGAGACTATTCTCGTTAAAGGCAATACAGAGCCACCCGTCCAAGGAGCAGCGTTTGCGCGGAGAACAAGCAGTAATTCACCCCCCAAAGCTCCTACTAATGTCTCAAGCAACACCAGTCTCTCAGGTGATGCCGAGAGTACAATCTCTAGTCATATATCTTCATCCGAGCCTTCAAAACCTCGCTTCCTAGCCACCATTCAACATATACCCAAGAATCCTTCCTCTTCTAAAACCGGCTGCCTTTATACCCCCGATGATACTAATACTCACTGGGTCCGACGTTTTGTTGAACTCCGACTTCCCTACTTACACGTCCACTCCGTTCCAGATGGAGACGAAATCAATGCGATCAATCTTCGCAATTCCCACATTGATCATGAACCAGATTTCGCTCGATTACTGGGGCCTTCGTCTAGGGGTGCCAATAATGAACGGAGTAGGGAATCGATGCGAGGACGACCAAATGTCTTCGCCGTGTATGGGACGCAGAATACGTACCTATTCGCGGCGAGGACGGAGGCGCAGAAGATCGAGTGGATTTTGAAGATTGACCAGGGGTATTTTAGTGGTGCTCGCGCGGGTGTGGGAGCAAGTTAAGTATCCCTCTAGGTCGATAGTAGGGCATCGTTTCCGCCCTTTTCTATTTGTGTCGTTATAGAACTTTTGCCATCCTGGTCGGTCATGGAAAGGTAGGGCAATGTGGGTTATCATTTTACGGGGATTTAAAGGGACATTTCAGGAAATATATTTCGATTTATCAGCCTAATTTACCTTCAATTTTTGATCTTCCACCCTTCTTTTCTTGTTTGTTGGTTTTCGATTTTGACATCAACCTGCCTGGTGCACTGCAGAGGAAGAAAGGACGATTCCTTTAGACCCTCTCTTCTGAAGCTCACTTCATTTATTCTATTCTACTGTTACATATTTGAGAGAGATATACCCCCTTCTCAACCGCCTGCGACCGTGTGTATCTTTTGCTCTTTGACTTTTGGATGACAGTGATATTTTGTCGAGGACCACCTTTGCATGCTGCTTTATCCCGAGAACCTTTTCTTTTAATAATGTATTAAATTTGCGTCGTGCGCTGGCGATGATACCCCTTTAGAATACACCCATAGTGACATCCACAAGAATTATTTGCTCATTTGCTCTATGGAGACTCATGTTTTCCGATATCTCGAGATCGAGTGTCTGCATCGCTGACTACAACATTTTACTGGCGGGAATCGCCATCGTTTAAAAGTTTCTAGGTGCTATTTACACTGTATCTCTGGTTACGGCGGTAAGACAAGTCAGCCGCAGCGTTTGAGGCTAAGCCCATATTGGATTATTAAGACCTGGATGGCTAGGAGCGAAGGCGAAGTACGCTGTTTGAATCCTGGATTTTAGGTGGAGGATTGGAGTAGAGAATATCACTCAAACATATTAAAAATTATTGCTCATTACTGCAAATTCAATTCTCCTTGAATCTGGTAAATAGGCATCTGTCTGACCAGCACACAGATGGGTATACGAAATAACGCCTCTGCCGCTCATTATGAAAGGTGAATCTGAATCAAAGACATAAACAACAAAAAAAAAATAGCACAAACCAATAGGAAACCCTATTTCAAAAGGAATTTATGTGTTCAGCGCGCTTTCTTTGAACCAGAAGGAGAGATTATGATTGGGCGAAGAAATATTGCTCTTAAATGGAGTTTGGATCGATATTTGAGTTCGGGTCCTTGAGTATTCCCTTTGCCCATTCTTTTAGCGCGTCGATTTGATCTTTGATGTGTCTCCACCAAAACAGTGCGTCATTTTTGTCGTCGTCATCTTTATCATCTTCATGACTTTTGATGTCGTCTATGCTTTGCGAGTTTCCAGGAACTGGGGCAGTGACGGGAGAGGGGTTTGCAGCGATTGGGGCAGGACGAGTCCATGCATCAGCTACGCTGGCTGAAGAAGTGCTAGTGCTGACTAAGTTAACCTTCGATGAAGAAGCTGATGGATCCTCGGGGACATCCGGCGGTGGTGCATTTTTGTCGGAATGCAGACCAACTGGGTGGAAAGGTAGGCGGAAGGTGCCATTGTTAGGGTTAGGTTCGATGTGCAAAGTATCACAGAGGACATTATAAACCTCGATATTTTCTACATGATTGCGGATTAGTCGCTATTGCCCCTACAGTTGTCTTGCACGGATAATGATAGGGTTGAAACTTACGGAAAGGCTCAACGCGACTATTCGGCTTATGAGGGAAGCTCGGGCCGTGAGCAACAAATATCGAGCGCATAAGAGGATGTTCATGGTCATATCCATGTATGCCACGGGGATGATACGTGATGTTTTTTGTTTTGGCCACTTCAATGTCGAAATCCGTTCTTTTGACTATTGCCCAGCCGGTTTTAGGGATGATCCATATGGGTGCAATGCGATCGTTGTTCGAAAAGTGGTATCTTTTAGGCATTGTTTCCCGGGTATAAACTTCAATAGAAGCCTTATATAGCCTCGATGCCTTTTCAAGCTCGCGGATAATTTTAGGTATGTCTGCGTCACTGCGGGGTCGAAGACCCTGCAGCGGCCACCCGTCAATACGCTCGATAAGCGAGAGATCGACTAAGTTATCGAGCTCAACAAGCCGGTTTGTTGATGTGGTTGCCATTCCGTGATCAGATACAACGATGACATTCACAATATGTGTCAAATTTCGAGCTTGCAGGCCGTCAAACAAGGATTTTAACATATTATCTGCATTGGCGATTGTTTTCCTGATCTCCGTGCTATTGGGACCGAACATATGCCCATCGGCATCAACGTTTGGAACATAACTAGCAATAAACTGCGGCCTCTTGTGTTCCCTTGCTGAGTGAAATTCATCATCGTCTCCCGGAAAATCCAGCCAATGCAAAATTCGATCAACTTTGGCGGAGAGCTCTTCACTGCCGTTATACTTATCGAGATAAGTTGGTTCCATGGGCCCAATATGAGCTTCGGATCCCGGCCACATGTGTATTGCCGTCCTTACACCTTGCTTTTCCGCTGTCACCCAGATGGGTTCCGCGTTCCACCATTTTGCTTGCATACTCCGTGCAGGGTCGGTATAGTAAAAATCCTCCTGAAGTTTTGGATCCCAGAAAGTGTTCCCAACTACTCCATGGCTTTCGGGATATAGACCGGTAACTAGCGTGAAATGGTTTGGAAACGTGACACTCGGGAAACTTGGGAGCATATATCTCGGCGAGATACCCTCCGCGACAAATTGATTCAAAGTCGGCGTGAGTCCACGGGTGAGAAAATCGGCACGAAAGCCATCAAGGGAAATAAGTATAGTGGTAGGACGAAATAATGCCGTTCCATTTGATAGGAGGGTGTATTTATTATGTTGTCTAGCTCGAAACTGGCTTGAAGCTTTGTATGCGCCGAGGAAGAGAATGAGAAAGAGGATAATAATGGCGGAAAACGGGAGACTGAATCTTCGATAAAAACTTTTTGACTAGAGCGACTACATTAGCAATACTCCTCCGTGATCCTAGGAATGTGGCAGAAGACAAACGGTACCTCAAGCGGCCGAGTTTCCAACATCAGAGTATCTAAAGAGGATGAACTCGAACCAGACGACAGGGAACTTAACTCGCCATCGTCCTCTTTGTTGAATACATCCCCCTCTTCCATCTCGTACATCAATTCCCCCTCTTCGTCTCCACCCCGATTTATACTCGACTGCGCCCGCCTTTTCTTTCTCCTCCTCTTCTCTTTCTTTCCAATCCGCACACTGCTCCCCATATCATGTGCCGTGCCAAAAATTCTCTTCAACCCGCCGCCCTGGTGTCTATCCTTCGTTAACAACCTCTCTAACTCTTCCTCTTCCTCCAGGACCGTTCGGTCATGCCGGGCAAGCTCTAAGGTGCTTCGCGACGCTTGTACGAGCTGATCATCTTCCGAATCAGAATCTTGATCCGAAAGAGAGCGCAATGAGATAACATCGTCATCGTAGCCGCCTGGAGAGAGTAGAGAAGGGCTGGAAGGGGCCAGTCTCGCCGGCATCCTGAGCCCCGAAAACGAATGAGTTTTGGGATTGGAGGATCAAATTAGACTTTTCGGAGCGGACGAAAGAGCAGCACGGTTAGGTCCCTGCCGCCATAATGGAAACAGCCCAGGCAGACTTGATGGAGTGTTGACGGTTTGGCTGACCGCGTCTCGCCCTGCTTGATGGTTCGGCGAACAGCATGAGCTGGGATTGTCCGGTCGACACACCAAGCTCCGAGCAAACAAAGCAAACATAGCCATTCAGCCAACCAGGCTTCGGCGGTGGCTGATTGTGATATTTCCTTGCATACATAAAGAGTGAGAGGGCCGACGGCGACATGGGAGAGATCATTAGAAGGAGCTACCTAATTTCCTTTAATTCAGGATTATGTCCCTCTTCATCGTATTAATATTTCTCGCTGTTGCCCAATTTCTGCTACGCATCTCTGCCCACAGCCTTACGAGGTCACAGCCATACACCGGCTCCCCATCCACAAGAATCCTTAACCACCCCAACCTGTCAGATAATCCTTCCGGGAGCCATGAACCATCCGCCGTATGCTCCAGCTCCCAGGATGTATACACTGCAATCTCATCCGCCACGGTTCGCGGATGGATGATCCCCTGACTAAAGCCGCGTAGGTCCCGAAAACTCTCGACGGGCAAGAGCGCGTATCCCTCAGGAAATGGAGGTTGAGGCGTCAAGATGTTCAGGTCCATCCTCCCCACGGTTAGCGGTGCCGCAAGATCACTTGAAAGCCGTGGTCCACACTGTAGAATTGAAAATATTAGACGATGGATTTTGGAAACCGTGGCCGGAGCGCCGAATCCATCGCCGCGAAACCCGGATAGTCCATTTCGCGCGCCCCGGATGCTCAAGGATATAGTCAAGACCTGTATGTGCTTGGCTCGGATGGGCAGATGTGTCCAGGAGAAAAAGTATTCTGTTTCATTTCTGAGGATCAAGCTACCCTCATAGCGCAGCGCCTTGAGCGTTCTTTGGCAGAATTCTATGTATTCGGACAACTCCTGGTTGATCTGGTTATTTGCGCAGGCTAGGGCAGCACAGCTGGTCCGAGCCGAGACAGGTTTCTGTTTGATGGTTGGATAGAGCACAGGATAGACTGCTGTTGGATCTGACGATGATCCGCTATAGAGGAGGCAGTCATAGATCTTCTCTCGAAGCTCAAGCGGAAGCTCTAAGAATTTTGATTGCGGCATGCTTTTGGATTCGTTCGCAGTGTTCTTCTCAAGGTGGCCCGGCTCAGCTGAAAAGTAGTTAGTTATCAATGACACGATCGGCGCAATGCTTCAAGGGGCTTCGTCAGGCTTCCAAGCTGCCCAACTACCATGTACTTGCCAAGATTTTTAGTCGCAGTCAGAAAGCTGTGAAGTGACAACGCAACTCCTTTGAAGACAGCTGATGCGGTTAAATAGCTGATCGCTGGAGACGAAATGAACAGCAGAACCGGACAATATACCCACCTGCTCGAATAAAAAGAAGGATATATTTGACTTAGGGTATAATCTAATATCTATATGCTGTGCCAAACATATGGACCAGACTCCAACCCATGCTTTGAAATGAAAGGAAATCCAAACACCAAGGATGCATAAATGAATAGGGAAGAGCGAAAGGAAGGGAAGTCATTTGTCATACAGATAAACATAGTACACGTCAGAACACAAAAAAAGCAAAAAAAAAAAAAAAAAAAAAAAAAAAAAAAAAAAAGGAAGAAACAACAAAATACCTGCAGGACTTTTTCAATCACGAACTGCATAGAAATTTCTCCATTCACACTTACAACCCCCAGTTCCGCCATCGACAGGTTGCCAACTTTCATCCCGCTTGTCCTTCCTGTCCGAATCTGTCAAATTGAATATCCCGCCTGCAGGCTTTATGAGTGTGCCCCCAAAACCACGAAACTCCAACTGCAGCTTTCTCTCGTTTAATTCAATCTGTGATCGCTCGTTCATTCCATAACAGTATACCATTTTCTTCTTGGCATCGCCGCCGTGTCGGTCCAGTTTGATAGTAATCGGGTATGGAAATGTACCAGGACGGGAAAAGTCCGTTGCATAATCCGAATCCGAGGACGGAGACTTTGAAGAGGTAGAGCTTTCCACTAGATGCAACTTGGCCTTCTCTGGCTGAGTCCAGATCTGCACCAGGAACCGCGTTTGTGCCCAAGTGCACCTTACGCGGGCAGCTGATTTGCTGGATCCGCCGTCTCTATCGTCGGGGATGTCTGCAGTATCTGTTTCATTCAGAGGTGCTACCGACTTTAGGAAGATGGAGCGATCGTAGTATGTATAGAACCCGTATCGTTCGGTTGGCATGCCGCGGTCGTATAGTCGGAGTGGCTGATTCTTTGGAAGTGGAAGGAGCTTTGCAGGAGCAGCAGTACCATCGGAAGCGGTTGTGGGTGATGGGATGATATCGGTAAGGTTTGGAAGCGGGTCAGGAGAATCCCTTTTCCTGTAATTGTTAATGGGTCCTGTGGATAGGAAGGTAGCATAAAAAGGTGTCTCCTCTCCCACAAATGGTGAAGCAATGCCATCTGTGGTATTCCCGAGGAACTCCATGTCCTCCAAGTTTGGAGGCGCTGGTATAGGCGTGAAGTCGCTACTCCTTGAATATAAAGTCATAATGCTGCGAACCAACCGCCTACGCAGACTTGATGTAACTTCCCGCCTTGTCTTAATTGCCATGGCCGTGCTGCGAGGATAGGTCCCGTTCTTGAATGTGATCTCAATCCTGAACTTTGGTGTCTCTGCATCATAAGGCTCGTTCATTTCCTGGTCCTCTTTTGGCAGTGCACAACTCCACATGGTAGACGGATGCACGCAACCAGAGCTTTTTTCAACAGGATCTGGTCCGCCAACAGTTGATATACCAGTTGGTATTGCAGGATATCCAGTTAAATTCAGCCATCGAGACTCAATCGCAGGAGGTTGGCCCCTTTTATTGGTGAATACCACCGCGAGAACAACACTTGCAACCGTTAGTAGCAGCAATATTAATGCGATAGCGAAATACCACCGTCGCCGTTTTCTTCCCTCCGGGCCAGCTCGACCCAAACAACCCCTGTTGCTAAAACATCCCCTCCCACGCCATAAGCCACCAACCTTTCTCCCAACAGCATCCTCTTTCTCACGTCTTCTGCGTTTTGATTCAATACTACTTTGTAGTACCACTGGGCCCTGGATTGCGGGCAAGGTAACAGGAGCTGCAGGCGGACGTGGAGGTAGAGAACCAGGATGTGGGTTTCCAGGAGTGTATATCGATGGGGGCGGACGTATGTTTTCCATTCTGGACATGTGTATGCCACCACGTAGTGACATAGCATTGTGGCCATTCGGCGATATGGGACCCGGGGAATGAGGTTGCTGATCAGGAGGAAAAATTGCTCGGTAGCGAATTGGCTTGCAGGATTTTGGTGAAGAATAAGGAGGTGGTATTGATTCCGGTGTCTGAATACTGCCTGTTGAGCCCGAAATCTTTCCTGTAGCTGATAAATTTGATGGCTCGACATCTTTGGCTTCCTTTGAGGGCATCCGGGGAGAGTTTACTAAAGCAGGTGTCGCACCAGCTGCCTTGAATAAAGGAGTCGCCGTTGCCTGACGTATATTGGGTGAAATCTCCGGGTCATCATCCTCGATAGTTGTGGAGCAAGACTCAGAACGCGGTCTTCTCGCTTGATCGTGCCGCAGATCTGACACAAACTTTTGAAAGAACGGGTTGTTTGAACCCTGTTCTGATGATGGCTGGCTCTGTAAGAAGGTAAAATGTTGTGGATTATTCGCTGTAACGCCTCGACTATTAGCTGGTGCTTCAGCCAGGAATCTATCAATATTGGAGCGGCTAAGGCACGCAGAGCAAGGCTGGCTGCTTAAGAGATCATGTTGACAGGGTATGTTGCGAGCTACACCGTTGTGCTCAGTGGACGTTGACATGACAAAGGGCACTGATTGCGTAGAGGATGCGGACTCAGGCGAGGCTTTAAACTCGGGACGATTTGCTAGGTTCGGTGACTGGGACGATCTCGGCGCCACATCTCTATCCTTTCTCTGTTTATACCAGCTATCCATGTCAGGCCACGCCGTGACATTGCTTTGGATTCTTCCATGAGTACTTTCAGGTGTATCCGGAGAAAATGAAGATACTGCATTCTCCCACTGTTTTTCATCCATGACATTTCTAGAATATGATGGGCCGGCGTTCACCGCGAGAGGTGGCACGGGGGGTGGACTGCTGTCCCCACTGGGAGGACCACGGCAACTACCCAACGTATTCGATCTTGATAATAAAGGGGATAACAGGATGTTCCACCACCCTTGAGATCGAGGCCGGGTCGAGATAGTTTCAAGGCTTAAACGCTTCGAGGTATTAACTCTGCTCTCGTCGGAGAAGGACCGCCTGCGCGTAGACAACCACGATGGGGAAAATTCCTCCTCGAAAACCGTCCCGGCCGAATATGAACGGCGCTTTTGTCCACGCTGCGAGGGGCTCTCAGCCAAAAGTTCTGAATGCTTCTCGTTGAAAGTATTTATTGCCGGAATGGCTGGTACTGGCGGGATAGACTCCATTCTAGCCGGTTTCATAAACGGCGTTGGCTGTGAATATACACTTGATGGAGGGCGGGCCTTCGTTGAGTTCGGGTTATCCCAAGCCGCATCCCAACCTCGCTCTTCAACTGCAGGCGTTATCACTATTGATGGTGTAACAGGCGTTTGCTGAGGTTTAGCACTTAAGGGCTCCTCTGCCCCGTCTGACTTTACAGAGAAGGTTGGAATGCTCATGCCAATCAAAATTGGTCGATCGGAAGGAGATAAGTCTTCGATCTTAGAGGGCTTTTCCTTGGTCTTGCGTGAAATCTTCCGTATCAAGGATTGTTTTTCCATACGCCTTATTGGTCGGAGAACATTGCCGGAATCCTCGGTTGCATCTTTTAATTCTTCATAGCCTCGAAATTTTGATTTCCATGTCGGCTGCCGCCTACCATCCTGCCGTTCGTGTGTTTGCTTAGATTTAGAAAGAGACTTAAGGTCGTTCAGGTCTAAAAAGCCCCCGGTCGATGCTTGTTGGTATCGAGTTGCTTTATCATCTGCTATCGGCTGATGTCCGTTCCTGGTAAAGTCTGTCACTAGATTCAGCCCGGGTCTCGTCTTCTTTATCGTATTTGTATTGTCATTTTGGCTCGAAAACATCTGTGCCGAAGGTGCGGCCGCGCTCCAACCTCCATTTCGCTCCGAGTATGAGTTGTGGTTTTCACAGTGGCTCGGTCCTTCTGTTAGATAATCTTCCGGAGATATAAAAGGGTTGTTGCTACGGCCAGCCGTATACTCTGGGGAATCGGATTCAGTAAAAGGCGTCATAACCTCCTCTGTGATCGGAGAGGATAAAGGAAATGTGGGTATCTTGGGAATCTGAAGGTTGATAGGCTTTGATATGCTCAGTTCAACGTGTCGCCGTGTCACCTCGGACGAATTCGAGTCCATTGTCCCTAGCATAGCCTTTGGGCTAGCAACAGTTTGGATATTTTCAGTACAACTAAAGATCATCATACTTTCAGCTACATTTGGGAGGAAGCTTAACTTACTCCCACTCTCATCACGCTATTGTGGCCTAGGGAGGAATCAAAAACGGTAGGCCCTGGAAGAAAGGCGCATATGGGTGTGGAAAGTACCCTTCAGTTCGATGGTTTGAAATGATTTTGGAAAGGCTGAATGGCAGCAATTAATGGACAAAAACAATTGTGTTATAAAAACAATAAGCAGTCAACAATGGTCACTGAATGGGGGTGCACTGCATAATGGACACCATAACACAGCTCTCAATGGACGTAATACCCCGCCTTGATACTTTGCAAAGGTATCAAAAGCATCACTCCCGAGTTTTGAGTTTCAGGGAGTTGGAGAACAGCTGCCTTGCACCCGTCTGAAAGGCTCAAGAGGTCTGCATGTATCACAGAAGTACACGAGTACTTGATACTTGTTAGAGAAGTGGGAAACAGAGAGAAAGGGACCAGAGAAAAATGTCAGAAGAAAAAAGTTCTCCAACCAGGAGAAAGATCAACTGATCTTGACCCTCGGGAGGTCAACACCCTGACCATGTCTCAGGGATAGTTCGCATTCTACGGAATGAACCCATGAAAGAAATGATGGCCAATAATAGCAGTATGGTTCCATGAACTCCATACGGTGCTAAATCAACCTCAAACCCAGGATCCCATTGACATAAGTAGTCATGGGCTCTCCCGCATCGATGCTCTTCTAGTTGATTGGATAACGGCGAAGATTGGAACACTTGAAGCTCAACAGAGACACACGGAAAGCGAGTGGAGTGTTTCGGGAGAAAATTGGACCCCGCATGCCAAACCCAAGACTGAAGGCTCATTGGCCCTCGAACCGCTGGGGATTTGATGAGCAACATGATGGATGTAACCAAGCAGAAGCGCTGGCCGTGTTTTGTCTCCTGGGCATGTCGTTGGAGGCAGTGGACGGTGACGTTGGAGCGGCTGGATGGGATGTCGTCGCCCGGCGCCAATCACCGCTGCGAGCGCGGCGGGCCGGCAGTGATTGGGCGCCTACAGCCATCCAGTCACAGCGCGCAGCCGGCGTCGGGGGCCAAAATGCTGTTCTTGGCGCCGTCGAGGCATAATTCTTCAACCAAAACACTTTCAAGCTGGGGCGGACTGAAGACAAGCTGGACAGCAGCATGGAATCCCGAGCGATCGGATTGCCTCAAGTTACGGCTAAATAGCTGGCTCTGGGACCTGCGAAGTTTTAGCTCTCGAACTCATCAATTTTCGGTGAAAAGGATGGACCAGAGGAGTTCTCTGCTGAGCGGGTATTTCGTACCGCCATTGACCACCCATACTGTCAGGCCATCGGCAGGGTATGACGCACGCATCCGGCAGTGGATCTTAGCAGTTTTTGTGAATAATTTTAAGGTACGGACACCCTTTATTGCATTAGCAGACCTAGTCTGTTGAAGACTTGGCAGTAGTGCATCAGAGCATCGTGAGGGATTCGCAGCTCTGTGCTAGGATAGCTCAGCGCTCGCCTGTTCGCTTCCAAGCAACGCTTCGTGGATGGCATAGCGATGAGATATTGCGTCCAAATGTTGGATATTGACTCGATAGTTCGTAGTTATATTCAAGTGAGCCAGAGGCAATGTTTAGAACAACTACATAGTACTTCTTTGTCTAAACTGGTTTCGGCTTCTGTCTTTCTCCATTTTGAAGTTTTCCCCCGCGCTACGGGGCATTAGGCTCAATTCCTTGAGTATTTAATTCCCTTGGAGCTATTCATTGCCATGAGTCGAAGAAGTCATGTTAATTTATTCTTCGTGTCGCGGAAGTTCTCCAGGTCGTTTCTCTTAACCTTGAATTCCAGCTTCTCGAGCAAAGTTTTAGCTACATTGCTACGGCACTTTCGCCTATATTCAACAAGCTCCTGCTAGAAGCGAGCGTGGCTCTAACTCCTTTCACCCCGGCTCAAACACCCCGATAACCCCCTGCAGTGGCGAGTTTACCAGGCGCCCGGACTCCGTACAGCAGTAATTTGGCGTGCCATATACCTCAGCAAGAAGGTCCGAAACAAGCGCTGCAGACAATGAAGCAAAATAGTTGGAGAGATGCATTCCAATCATTCAGCCAAACGGACAACTCCATCCCGCCTTATCGAGCGGTGGGCCTTCTTTTTCTATTCGCGCGTACCAAGTATTATTCCTCAGGTATCGTTCTTTGTCCTCCTTTAACCTGACAGAATACTCGCCAGGCTTCATAAATATGGAGAACGCTGCACGTCTCTCAGTACACTGTGATCCACCTCTGTAGATGTCCTGTCTCCTTTCTTCTCATTTATCCATAGCCATGGTTGTGGAATTGCGTCTAAATCACTCGAGGTCGCGGTCAGAATACGGGTGTATGCTTAATATGTATTTATGTACTCCGTAAGTATGTAACTAATGAGCGCTGATACGTACATGTTTGTAAGTATCAACGGAGCGCCCATACCGACCTACCATTTTGTGGTACGTGACACCATGAGAATGAGCCACATTGTGTACCAAAGAGACAACTTGCGGCTATATACGTTTCCGGATATCATTCCGACGATGTGACACGTCGAACGTGTTTTCCAGGTGCGCTCGTGCGTATCTCGAGTGATCACCAAAGAACCAAGGAAGATGGGTTTCGCGCGGGAGGTCAACGCGCAAGCTGTCAAGACTGGGGATTGGATGCGTATTGATTTTGAAGTCCACCGCACTTTTCAAAGAGCAGGCCTTCCTCCCTTGTCTTCTGCAGCCAAGCATTTTTGGGGCACCTTTATATCGACCTCCTCCTGATTAGCTATTCCCTCAATAGGTGACCGATTTGAAGTCACATCTTCGCACCGACCAGCACTAACATGACTTTAGCCCAAAGCATACTAGTAGGAGTTAATCAACCATGTCTGTACTCCGTATGGTGGCAGAAGCGTCACCCGGTCCATCCGATGATCATTGTGCGACCCAGCTGCAGGCATGGTGATCCTCATTCTTTGTACTCTGATTATTTCAAACCATAAATAAAGACAAGAGAGACTTCTGTGAACGAGGCAGCAGAACGATCTGGAACTTGGCACAGAGTTAACACCAGCGTCTAGAGTTTACTATTCTTGTCAATTTTAGAGACCAGTCTTCCGCGGAAGCAGAGCTAAGCCAATAGTCAACATAAATTTCATGATTTAAAGCTCCAAGCGGGTCCTAGCCAGTGAGTATGGAGTATTTCATTGTCAATTTGAGTTCTCTTGTGTTGTGTGCTGAGGGGTTGAATGTGCTGCCACATCTTTCAGCTTGTTGGAGAACATGCAATGCCATTGTCAAAGCCCATCACGGCACGACACCCCTCATCTTCATGGTGTTTGCCCGTGTGAGCAAAACCATGCACAACAAGCATGTAGGCGTTCCCAACCATGGTTGTATCCATTACTGGGAAGAAGTACGGTATTATTTTTGTAACATGAATTTTGATTGTTTTCAAGAATTGTACTCCGTACGTACAGAAATCTATGTCGCATACTGTAAATACATCTTTGACGGCTTCATCCCTCCGGGCATTGCGGAAGCAGGGTCCATCACTCGGTCCCTCCTTCTGGCTGCCGTGGCACCAAAGTCCTGGCTTCTGGGATTCGGTATGGAACCACTTCACTCGATAGCAACAAGGGCTGTTGGTCACGAGAGCAGCATAGGTGACCGCTCGGTTGACATACAGCAAGGCGGTTTTGGGTCCCTGCTTCGTGCAATTTTGTCACAGGAAGCGGCATTTCATCCGAGGGAAGAATGGTGAAGAAGGCATCTGAGATGTTTAACATGGGTAAAGTTAGGGAAGCCTGAAAGTAGCTGATACTCCAAATTTAGACAATGGCGGGGAGAAAAAAAAAGGCGAGACAGAGTCGGACGAGCAGAAAGAACAGTGCGGAGGGCATGTTCGACTGAGGTTTACCCGTCCACTGATCAGGGCTTCGGGACGGAGTGGTTATGTCTTCATGCGGACCGGTAAAGTTGAGAATGGAAATGTCTAAAAGTTCACCATTTCTCTCCACAAAACAATTCGGACTCATCAGTTTCTGAGAAAGCCATGACCAGGTCCATACCTTTCCAAAATGGCGTCATATTTCGGGTTTTCTTTGTCCACGGCCTTGAATTCACGAGGCTCCGTCCATCTTAAGAAATAGAAGCCTCCGCTCTGTAATTATCCTTTCAAGGCACTCCGTACGGAGTATCCACAAACAGTTTTAAGACCTAGGAGTAGATTGCTGTGGACAATATTCCGTGCTCGAAGTAAAATGGTGGGCGCTGGCGCCAAACCTCGTCGGATAGATTGAAAGCCTGCCAAGACCGAATCCCATTGGACAATCGCTTTCCAGCCAAGATTTTCAGCGAGATCAAGCTCCGCAAGGTGCTTTTCGCAATCGTGAAGTCGTTACCGGACAGGTCGGCCTAATTGTCGTTCACTCCTCGCATTATAACAATGAAGCGCAAGGGTGGTCCACATAGCTCTAATGCAGAATCAAAGAAGAGAGCTCTCTCACCCGAAGAGGCGACGGCTCGATTCGCAGATCGGCTTTTCGAGAAAACCACCCTCGAGAAATACAAGAATGCCTATACCAATTCAGAACCGTGAGTCCAATTGTTCATATCTCCCCCAGGGTTCCGGTGTTTATGTCGGTTAGCTATTGCCATTCAACTAACATGGTCTTGTAGTTACAAGCACGGCGTGATCTCCCCACTCATCGCTCCAAGCCTACTTCGCTCCGTTCGCAGCGAAATCCAAGAACATTTGTCATTCACCGATAAGGAAACCGATATCTACAAGATTTTTCAATCGGGCGATTTGGCTAATTTGGATGGACTGGACGATGCTTCGCTCGCTCGACTGCCCTCTCTCCTCAAGCTCCGCGATGCGTTGTATTCCTTACCGTTCAGAGAGTACTTATCCGAAGTCACCGGGGCTGGGAAACTGAGCGGGCGCAAGACGGACATGGCAATCAATGTATATACCGGTGGCTGCCATCTTCTTTGCCATGACGATGTGATTGGTACGCGTCGTGTCAGTTATATCCTCTACCTGACCGACCCAGATGCGCCATGGGAACCAAGTTACGGTGGGGCTTTAAGGCTATATCCAACAACGACGAAGACGGACAAAAATGGAGATGAGGTGAAGATCCCAAGTCCGGACTTCACTTTGTCAATTCCTCCCGCATTCAACCAGCTGAGTTTCTTCACGGTTCAGCCGGGGGAGAGTTTCCATGATGTCGAAGAGGTGTACCACATCGAAGGCGAAAGTACTAAGCAACAAAAGAAAGAACGGGTGCGCATGGCCATCAGCGGGTGGTTCCATATCCCACAAGAAGGAGAAGATGGATACGAACCAGGATTAGAAGAGAAACTTGCCGAACGCAGCAGTCTGCAGCAACTCCAGGGTCAAGGTGACGAATTTGACCGTCCACAGTCCCAAGTCACGCAGTATGATGAACCGACGGATCAATCGGCCTCCAAAGGCAAAGGAAAACAGGTCGTCTCCGATGAAGAAGGTGACAAAGAGTTCACGGAGGAAGATATGGACTTCTTGCTGAAATATATATCTCCATACTACTTGACGCCAGACGTCAGTGAGGAGTTATCTGAAATCTTTGGCCGTGAGTGGTCACTCAAGCTGGAGCGCGTCATTTCCGATAAATTCGCCGCTCGAATCCGGGCATACATCGAAGATCAGGAGAAAGGCGCTCTGCCAACTGCCTCAGACGACATCGAGAAACAAACAGACTGGAAGGTCAGCCGGCCTCCTCACAAACATCGATATCTGTACCAGCAGCCAAGGCTGGGCATCCAGGAGCAGGAGAAGACTCCAATCCAAGAATTGCTGGAGGATCTTCTTCCCTCCAAAGCGTTCAGGAAGTGGATGTCAGTCATCACCGGAATCGACAATCTCATGAGCTATAACTTCCTCGCTCGCCGATTCCGACGAGGTCAGGATTATACCCTTGCCACCGGATATGAAGGCGCCTCCCAAAGACTTGAATTTACCATTGGCCTGACCCCAACATCTGGCTGGGAACCACAAGATAACGAAGATCTGGAAGACGCTGAAGCCCAACCAAGCAACGGAGATGCGTCATCGAAGGCCAAAGCAGAAGACGGCGGTCCCTCCGTTGGAGGCTACGAGATCTACATGGCCGGCGACGACGATGATGACGAAGAAGAATTAGGCGACCCCGAGGAAGCACTAAGCTTAACGGGAACAAAGTCCAAAGTCAAAAAGACCAAGGCAGATCCCGCCATTTACAGATCCGCTATGGACAATGAAGATGATGGAATTTTGTTCAGTATGGGCGCTGGATGGAATCGGATGAGCATTGTTCTGCCGGATCAGGGAACGCTAAAGTTCGTGAAATATGTGAGTCGCTCCGCAAAGGGAGATCGATGGGATATCACGGGTGAGATTGAGGTTAGTTTCGAAGATGATGAAGAGGATGATGAAGAGGAGTGAATCGGTAAACGCTCTCGGCATTTGTGGGTCTCATCGGCAGGGTTGGTTCTGCACATAACGTATGTAGCACTGGAATTGGGGACCGGCTGATGGTGAGCGTAATAGCGAAAGAATTTTATTCCTGTGTGCATGCGTCACATTCTTCAAGCAGTGGAAGCTGGAAGGACAAAGCCTTGGGGACCCCTCTCATTGGAGCAGTCCAGACCACGAAGTCTTCTGAATGTTACATAGATTGCTATGTTCTAACTCCTCCAGATTCGCCCACCATTTTTCAAAACTCTCTCCTCTGTATACCGTTAAGGTTAAGCTACAATGAATGGTTGAGACTCTCACATATAAGCTTTGACAAAAAAAATTATCATGAGCTTAGCTCTTGAGTTTAAAGCTTTCAATCGTGTTGTCACACAGCTGATCGCAACCATGCACAGGGATTCTTTGAAGCTTCCTTTGGCTAATAATGATGCGCACAGAACCAACAAACCATTTTACAAAGAATAGAGAATGGTCACACAAAAAGAACGAAATCACCTTGACGTTGCGGTACAGATGCATACATGCACTCTTGAGGCAGAATTGCCTGGAGATGCTTTTCGTGGTAACTTTGCCTTCGATGACGAAGAAAAAGTGTTGAATCGTCACTTTGAACTTAATATCCATGCTACCCGTGAGACAACGGCACCGTTTCGGGTCCAACCCTATTTGACTGAGAACTGTCGTCATCAGATGCCAGCGGAGTTGCTTTCGCTTTTCTGTTTCGAGGTCTAGTTATCGAGTCACCGAGCTTATTACAGCATTTCCGAATGGCACGCCCAACATTCTCGGGACTTCTTGACATCAGCTCTCGAGAAATACTCAGTTTGCGCGAAAAGAACTCAATCACAATGAATGCTCTTTGATGGAAATAGCGACCACGCCCTAAAAGATACCAAATGTTGTCTTTCGATATGCTTGATATTTTCTACGCGTGCTGATCCATGGGAGCAACAGAAAACTCAGGATGCACCGGAATCAGGACCGGAAAAGCGTTCCCACCTCACCACTGAAGGCTTCATGGAATAGAAAGTTGATTACCTACCTATCAGAATCGAGAGTCCAAGAACATTGTTGGGACGAGAGATTGTCTTTATCCCGCTGTAAGAAGGTGAATGGCGACATCCCACGGTTACGCTGTCCGTGACATGCGAAACGTGTGAGGGCGAATCTCAAGAGCTGGACAACGGGACCGAATTCCTTTTTGTCCATTGTCATTGGATCAAGTTTTGACGGTGCCCTTTTTTTTTCCCCTTTCTTTGATTTTAATCCAACTTCACCGTGTGCTGCCTAGAAGGTTCTTTAACAAGGAGCTCGTCCCATGTCCCGCACTTTCTCACGCTAAGCATGGTTGCAAACCGCAACTAGTATATGACGCGCATACACAGCATGGGGCCCGCATTGTCGCATCGCGACGTTGCGATGGATATTTGTCTTTCCATTTTTCGAGATTTCAGAGCGCGAAGGCATCGGAATAAAGAGGCATTCTCACGCGAGCATATACTCCGTACACAAAGAATGAAACCCAGAAATCGAAAGTGCCCAGGTTCCGACCTGGGGTCCAAGTGACAACGGAGAGCGATATGGGAGCTCGAACCGCCATATCCCAACGGAACGCTTAATGCGCCGGATCTAGTTACGGGTATGCGATCTAGGGTTCGGTTAAGAATGATTACCCCGTTTCGGGATGTCCTATGCTCAATTCATGGCAACTGTGACGACGCACATTCCACAGAAACAAACTTGGGCACAGATCTCAAGCGCTGCTCCGTATGATCCTCGCGAGGACGGCGGCAAAAGTGGATACTTACATGAATGTGTCAGTAGCAGCCCCCTCCGCTAAGGGTCCGATGAAGCAGCAGAATACATCTCGCGGCGGGTATATCGCCTTGGATATACCTTTGTACGAGAAGAAGTCCCAAGAAAAAAAAAACCGCTGAAGAAATCGCAGAGTTTCAAAAAATTTCCCCGGCGGCCAATGATTAATTCTCCCTTCCCGTTAAACTCCTTAGGCCCCTTGCCCTGTGCAAATATGCATGAACGACAAGCACTTCATACTTATTTGGAATTAATTAAGCGGCTAGTTGGGCTGGACGGGGTTGTATTTGTTCTTGAAATCATGACCACTAGGACCTGGTATGCCTACTAAGGGGGTCCCCTGTCATTGCATTTGCCCCTGGCTTGGGCGTGGGCTTTGCTCCGAGCTAAAAGCACATGTGTAAGCCATTCGTCAGAGTCCTCCGTATTGCGATGGGAGGGCTTAAGCAGGGGATACGAATTCGGTATGCGTATCCACGAGATTCGTACATTTGTTTGTATGCATGTATGGATGTGCATGCATGTAGATATGGAATCATAGAATCAGCCAGGCGAGAAAGCGGGTCCCCGTTACGATCTCAATAGACGCTGAGTGGTGATAGAAAGCAGAGTTTGGTGATCGAATTTGCCTCCACAGGTCTGATCACGGTTTGGTGACGAGGGCAAGCAGTGGAGGCGCTGATGCTTACGATGTTGCCTGTCGCTTCGATTGTTGAAGGTCATGTAACTCTCCTCCGAAAAGGTAACCAATTATCGCCAAGTCGCCGGCAACTCATATGCTACACGATACGATCGGTTCTCTGGCCCCTTCGCCGTCCTCTTATTCTCCTATTCGTGCTTGAGACCGATTATTTGGAGCTCTGCAACTGGATGCATAACCACATGGCTACTTCCTTTGCCGCATACTCCGTGGCAGACCTAGCACGCTATCCACCTCGCGAGATGGCGTGGCGTGTCGGTCCTTGCTTGCATGCTTACATGCATGGCTCAGATATAGGGCAGGGTTGCCGTAATGTAGGTCACCGTCGATAGTTAGACGCTTGCGGGAACGGGTGAGTTACGTAAACCTGCAGGCACGCACAGCCCGACAAAGTCAGAGAGGGTCAGAGTCGCGGCAGCAGGGACAAAGGTTTGTTATGTGAGATAAATCTGAAGGTGGGTCTGGTGCGGATTGGATTTTAAGCTGCCGATGGACTCATCGTTGGGGAAAGCTAGAATGCGACGAAAACACGTCTAAATCGACGACTACATGCACGCGCACACACATACATGTTGAGTACACGCTACAGAGTAATCACTCTATGATAAGCGCCGTCGCCGTTCGGCCCTCCGCTTAATGCTACCGAATACGGGTCACATTTCACATAGAATACCGAAATGCTGCTATTATGTCCCGAGCTTGTCTTGAAGCATCTGCCAGGTGTCTCTCGCAGCACTGTCGCGAGCATATCTTCCGGCGCGCCGTCGAGACAAGCATATAAAAAGTTCGGGTTTGATCCATGGCTCATCTCAAAGCTTCGGGTTTTTCGCCACATTAGAAGTTCGTTGGAAAGTTGAAACTCATTGACGTCGGGCGGAGCGTCCGGTTCGGCAATGGTACCTCACACAAGACTACTCCGTACTCTTGTCAAAAAAGGCTGATCTGCAACAACCACTTGAACGCTCATCATGAGCTCATGAGTTTGAAACAGGCAAAAGGTTTCATACAAAGTAATAACTATGTACGAAGAGCTGTGCCTGTCACTGTCTAGTGCCGCCGAAAACTCATGACCTGCTACCAAGATATCAAGCTTTTTGGGTCCGGACCGCACACTCCAGACGGAAGTGTGATTGGTCTCTAGTAGGAGTGAGTTAGTAAAGTCCTGACTCGCCTTTTGCTAGTTAAGATATGGGAGAACAGTACGGAGTAAATTTGCCATTTAAGCTGAATGGACGTAGACGACCTGGGAAGGGTGTCCCTTGCACAATTCACGGAGTTGGGGAGCTCTCCAAGGCCAGGATTTTTTTTTATTTTTTTATTTTTTTTTTTATTTTTTTTTTTTTGGTGAAGGGGTAAACTCTGCAATTCCCCATTCGAAAATCTTTCTTGGTGTACGGAGTACAGAGTACACATCCCAACTCATTGCAAAGCTTGATCCAGAAATGACATGACTGCTCTCTGTGTTCTCTAACGTTACTTTTCCCAACAACTTACCAAATTCAAACAGAACTTCGGGGACACCCTGGCTGAAAAAAAAGTCTCCGGAGCCCCTGATGATACAAAGAGCAAAGTGAGAATGAAGAAACATGATCAAATAAAATGCTCATAAACACACGTTACGCTGAGCTAGGCTTGATCGCTGAACTTCCGAAATGGGGTGATCCAGACTGAGGGGTGTGTTCCCGCGCCAGCGGGGATCTGAGAGCAGTGTTTGAGTTCAATAATGAGGACGCGCCATTGACAAATGGGGTTGACGATCACACTCCGGGGCCAGGATGTGTTCATTCTCTGTATTGCATTGATGGGGAAGTAAGCTTTTCGGACTACGGTATGCTGCGCCTTGTGTATGGGAAGAAGTTGCCATCCTAGGGCAGATTTCCAAAGACCGAAAGGAGCAGCGCTTTGGGCTTGATGGATCCCGCAGGCCCGATGGACAAAGGCCCCTGCATGATGAACTGACAGGAGTTACGCAGACCAACGGTGCAAGGTCATGGCGGGAGATCGTGGGCAAGGTTCGTGATGCTGTGGCGGCTGGCCGTGATCGATCCAGGGCTGGCTGATCAGAAGAGAGCGCCGGTTGGACGGAGTGCCAAGCCCGTAGGTAATGAAACCAAAACGCGTACGGAGTACGGAGTACGGAGAACGGAGTACTTGACGTAGTTACCGTTATTACCGTACGAGTGTTTCGCGCTCACGCACACCCACTTCGCGGACGCTCCCAGTCGTCCTCGTGGTGAAAAATGGAGATTTGCTGGGCGCTAGGCTGGACCCGGCATAGCGCGGTAGAGGGTGGGAAGGATAAGGCTTCGTTTCTCCCTGAAAGCTTAAACTTTAATCTGGACGGTGGCGAGAGCACACACACACACACGCCCAAGACCGGGCCGCCCGTCGTCGTCGAGTGTGGCGCCGTTGCTTTCCTCTTTTTGTCTGGTGGGTAGGGGAGCACACCTCTCTCTCTCTCTCTCTCTCGATGAAGTATGTATCTATGTACTCCGCAGTAGTCAATAGTATGTCTTAACAAGCGCCAGGCCTAAAAGCATTATTGTTCCAAACTCGCCTGGTTTCATGGGGGAGGAAAAAAAAAAAAAAAAAAAAGGAGAAAAGAAAAGAAAAGATCACTGATGGATTGCTGGGTGCAGGCATGACGACGACTTGAGAATAATTAAGTCTACTAATTGGGTATCAATTC